TCTACGAATATTTGTCCGAAGCCGAAAGCAACCCTAGCCAAAGCCTCGATACAAGCGATTTGCCTACTGTCGTGACTAGTTTCACCGAGATTTTGACGCAGTTCTTGGGTCACATGAACGCTGGCCGCAGAGGAAATCGCATCACACAGATTGCTGCAATTCGGCAACGTGCTAACGATAAGTTTTCGTTTCACAAGGAACTTGATGACCTGCTAGGCAGACTTCATGGATGTGTATCATTGACATCGAAGACCGAGGTACATGACTGGAAGCGTCAATGGTACGCGAAACGAGCTCGACAAACGCGGAGTTTTGAGTGGACATTGATGAAACCTGAAGCTGCGAATTTACTACTTGATGAGCTCCAAAACACTCACGATCGTGAAGAAATGTTGACATTTTTACGCGGCACCGCTCCAGTTACACACCTGCACAAGTGGAAGCTACAGGGTTTCAACCGAAGGAAGAGGGTCGGATAGATACGACCGAGCCGACGGGAGAGATCAAGAGTGATCGAGAACAGCCTCGATCAACGGAATTGGGAGGGACACAAGTTGAACCGAAGGAGGAAGCTGACGATGACATGGACGACGCTGTCTGCTACCATGAAGGCGGGGATATCGTCCCTGAAGACATCGAGAACACCTGCCGGAAGTGGACGCTACCACGAAGAAAGTCACCATCGACGACATACAAGTGGATGATCCGCACGCGGCCCCGGAGGAACGCGAGCGACTGCGTCGCATCATCTAGAAGCGACGCCACTTGCTGATCGGAGCTGGTAACGCCTTACCATCGACCGTCTTCGGAGCTATTTGCGACATTGATGTCGGAACGGCAAAGCCGGTTGCTCAGGGATGTCGACGGGTAGCGCCACAATTCCGCGAGAAGCTCTCCATGCTCATCAAGGGACTGCTGTCGGCAAAGATCATCACCACCTCCACCTCACCTTGGGCGTCACCCATCGTTGTCATCATCAAGGCTAACGGGGCTGACATCCGCCTCTGCATTGACTACCAGGTGGTGAACAGCCTTACGAGGTTGATGGTATACCGCATGCCGTTGATCAACGACCTCCTCGAAGACTTGTACAAAGCACTCTGGTACTGTTACCTCGATATGACTATTGGCTTCTGGGTGGTGTTAATGACCCCGCGAGCAAGGCTGGTGTCAGCGTTCATTACACCGTTCGGGTTGTTCGAGTGGACGAGGATGCCGTTCGGGTTAAAGAACGCTCCTCAGATCTACCAACGAATCGTCGACAACGCGTTGTATGGCCACATGCGCATCAAGCCCGATCAGGATCGATCGAGCCCTGTCGATGTCTTCGAGGAAGGAGAACCGGAGCCGGAACCTAAGCCGTCGGGCCTCGGGAAAAGGTCGTATATGGACGACATCCTTGTGCGGGGCGACTCGTGGGATAGCATTGCAACCGTATCGACAAACTGCTCGACGTCTGTGATCGGTGGAATTTGTCGATCAGCGTAGCCAAGAGCTACTGGGGTCGACGCAAAGTGGCGTATCTAAGACATGAAGTATCCTCAGCTGGGCTTGAAGCGAAACCGAAGGGGCTCGACGCAATCGCGAACCTTCCGTTCCCCACCAAGTTGAAGGCGATGCAGTCGTTCCTCGGAAGCTTGAACTATTACAGCCGCTTCATTGAGGACTTCGCAGTCTATGCCGCGATCTTGTACGAGCTGCGGGAAGCAGACTTCCATGAGATCGCTGCGATAGACGCAGAGGAGACGTGGGTCGATGATAGTCAAATAACTGGGGGCGAGCGCGATAGGTGGACGAGGGCGAAGAACGCCTTCACCATGATGAAGGCGAAAAATTATTGCCACGCCGGTCCTGAAGCAATTCGACCCGGAACGCACTCCTGTTATCGTGCTTTACGCGAACAAGTGGGTCATATCAGCGGCATTGATGCAGGAACACGAAGGTGTGTACCATCTAGTGGCCTTCACCAGTCGTACGCTGAAGGCAAACAAGCTCAAGTATGGAGTGGTGGATAAAAAGGTATTGGCGCTTCTGCAAATCTTGGGACGTCTGTTACTCGCAGCTGGTTACCAGATCGATCAAGGTCTTGTCACGATTCTCGACATTGGTCTGGTTGCTCAAGTCGAACGGGTTCGACGGTCGACTGGGTAGGTGGGCAGCGCTGCTATCCGGGTGGACGTTGGAAGTCACCAAATGTGTGATGAAGACGAAATCCTTGGAACAATCGCAGCCCTCCCCGAGCCGATGTCGCCGAAGCCCTAGTCGGGATAGCACCCAAGAAACAGCCACGGAAAATGATCACCATGCCTCCACCAACGATCGAACCAGACGAGAACCTCTTGGTGGTGAGTTTCGACGGGTCCGCGCGGGTGAAGCGCAGCGGCAGTGCGTATAGTGCGGTCGTGTGGAAACTCCTGGAGTGGACGGTGGTGGAAGCCATGTCGGAATACCGATTCTTGGTTTCGATTTGCTCTCGACCTTGGACAGGGGGCGCGTCGTAATTTGTGGAGACTCGAATTTAGTTATTCGTCAGACACAGGGTGAAATGGACTGCAAAGCACCAGGACTGCAACTGCGCCGACAGAAGGCGTTGAACCAACTACTGTGGTGGCGGAAGCACGAGTTCCTTCACGTGAAGCGTGAATGCAATCAGAGTGCGGACAAGTTGGCAAGTGCGGCGCTGCAACGGGAAGAAGGCGAAATAGTCACCTCAGAGGACGATCGTCAGGACTTGATCACCCTCAACCGACTGGGCGAAATGCGGAAGCCAAAGTTGATCGAGACAGTTGTCAGCGTAAACGCAATCACGCGAGCCGCTGAGAGACAACGACGCACACCGAAAGCGATGGAAGAATCTATCATACAGCGCATACGGTGGCAGAGGATTAGGCAAGCTCAGGAGGAAGAGTGGTTGATTGCGGACCTGAAGAGGTACCTGGACGGGGAAGTGAGTTTCTTGACAGCAGAAGAGGCGAAGGCATGCTCGAAGATAGCCGCGAATTACGAAGTAGACGAGAACAGGCTACTCTTCTTTTGCCCAAGACACTGCAACGAGGCGAAGACCGCGACGGGGTCGTCAGGATGGTGATACCTGACAGCTTACAGTGATACTTCCTTCACCATTATTATGCCAGTCTTGAGGGAGGCCATCAAGGCGTCGGAAGGACGTACCGG